GCGGACCTTTGTTGGCAAGGGGATGTCTCTGCTTTTTAAGATGCTGATGCACATTTACTTAGGTATAAATATAACTGAACGCAGTAGGCGTAAGAGTTGGTTTCAGGCAGATGATCAAGTTGCAATGCTGGCATGTTTAGAATGTAGGTGGATCTGAGTATGAGTGCATACACTTAGACATGATCTAGGCAAAGGTTAACACCATTTATTTAAACAATAACATCACCCACTGCAAAATTTGTGCTTAGACTCCTAACTGCTTAACGCTGGCTAACATATTGCTATTGTTGTAAGGAAATAAAAAAAGAAAAACTTATCTAGGAGATTTCTGACAAGATTTAATTTTACGTTGTTGGTTGTTGTTTTTTTCTTTTGAAGGATTAGGTTCAGGAAGAGAGGGGGTGGAACTTTATTCTTAAAAAAAAATATTATTCGTTCAGTATTAAATATGTGCAAAGCATTTGCGAATGGTTATATATCATTGCATATCAATGAAAGGGCTGCCAGAAGCACCTAAGAGCCAATGGAAAGGTTATTATTATCAGTGAGATAATATCAGAGGCAGGAGAGTCAGACCTGAATGAAGACAAAACATACACAATTGAAAGCAGCAATGTCTTCAAATCTGCTGGCAGGATACAAGAGGGACAGAGCAGGTTTGAAAGGAAGAAAAAGCTGGGAGCTAATTTCAAAAGCATGAGGACAAAAAAAATGCAATTGGGCTGTTGCTGTTAACCTTTGCACAGGGAAGATGCGAGAGAGAGAGAGAGAGAGAGAGAGAGAGAGAGAGAGAGAGAGAGAGATTGTAGGTTCCTTCCATTCACAAATCTCAGCAGATGCTAAAAACCTCAATGTCTTCATTCTGGATCCCTAACTGTCATATGTTACAAGGGTCTGCCTCTTCCAAGACATTGTGCATTCCTACAAAATGCCCTTATATAACTTTATCTACATCTTTACAGCTAAATGTATCATCTTCTTCCTCGTCATCTCTCTCTCTCTCTCTCTCACACACACACACACACTCACTCTTATTATTATTATTATTTTGCTTCATAATGGAGGGGAAAATGTTAGATTAGAAAACTTCAATTAAGCCTTTAAAAAGACCATCTGCTGAATGCTGACTGGGGTTTCATGTAAACAAAATGCCTGTGCTGGTTACAAACAAATGATCTTATCTATTGTATTGTGTTACAAATTAAAATTAGATTACGCCACCTACATGGTACCGCTGCTGAATCTTAAATTTCTTATGGAAACTGAATGTTTGCTGCAAGTGTTCATTCGGCCTGATGAGAGCCTCATTATTTTTGTACCAGCAGTACACACTGGGTATAGCATAATCAAAGCCTGGGGGTACGTATTAATTATCCTTTTGAATAGTGATGAAATTTTAAAAAGATCTCCTTTAGGCTCACATCATCAGCAGATGAAACAAAGCTTTGCACAGCTTGCGAGCAGTGGCTCACATGTGTTTTTACATCTGTTCAGGATATTTCAATTTGAAGCGCAACAAGCCAAGTCTGGGATTAAAGACCAGGATAAAAAATAAAAAGCGAAGGGAGGGGGGGGGAAGGATGCAACAACTAACTGCCCACACCCTCCCCAGGCTGGTGGGAGCAGAACTCTTGTTTAAAAATGCACACAGAAGACACCATCATCATCATCATCACCATCACCATCACCATTATTTTTATTATTATTATTCCTTGGACTAATTAACCAGTCACTTGATATTCTTTGTTGACTAGTGAGCCAAGCAAGATTTCAGTTCTGTGCCCCTGGCGCTAGATGTGGACTTTGAAATTCACTATATATTTTTTATGTGTAGTTTTTTAAAAATATAAGATTAAAAAGAAAGGGCTAATCTTCCAAACTTACATGAATTTACAGAGAAGCAAGTCCCCTTGATTTCAGTCTCATTCACTAAGCAGGCTAGTCCTCCAGAATTCAGAGATGTGTGCGGGTTCTTCAAGGAACCCTCGTGGAAGTCATTAAACAGTCTAAATTGTCTGAATGCATCAAATGTAAAATATTAGACAACTGAGAGAGGAAAGTAAGAGAAAGTAAGAGAGAGGAAAAGCAGGGCGAAGGAGTGTTGGAATGGGCATGCAGGCTTCAGATTCTTGGTTTACATGAGATATTTGCTCATAAGGCCAGAATCAACTTACTTAGACCTAAGGAGCATAAACTACTGACTTATTGCTTATATAAATGGATCTCTGTGAAGTGACATCCAGGTCCTATGAAACAGATAAATCAATCCTGCACTTAAAAAAATAATGAAATGCATTCTAGCATGACTCTCTCTCTCTCTCTCTCTCTCTCTCTCTCTCTCTCTCTCTCTCTCTCCCTCCTTACTTTAGCTCCCTCCCATACCTGCTTTTCACTACTCCCCCACTTCAGTTTTCCCCCTATTACTGGGGGGCGGGGAATAGGGACAGAAAATTGGGAAAGCTGTCATTAGCTCCTGTGACTTACCTTAAATATTGAGCTTTTTGAATGAATCATAGTGGTACAAAAGTGTGGTGTTTGTTTCCATGTTGAAAAATATAATGTTTCAGAGCCAAACAAAATAGATACCCAGGTTAGGGATGGGACAGAAATTCAGAGAAATGTTAATTCAAGCCTACCTAATTCACACTTCCTGAAATGATGTGTGAACCAAAACACAGCTATACAGAATGCTCTGAATTCAGCAATCCAAACAAAATGTGTTTAAAAATGCAGATATTTATGCACATAAAAATGCACAGATAGTGAAGGCAACATACAAAATGCATTATATTAGGGGAAATGGCTTGAGATATATATATGCATGCAATATCACGTTCTAAAATGTGCAGACACACTAAAATGCTACTGAATTTTCACAAGCCCATTGTTGTTATTTTGCTTTTAAAAATGAGACAAACTCAATTTAAGACTGGAAAACAGAGAAACTGAAATAAGACAGATGTGTCCACCTAGCCCAGGAGAAGGAAAATCAGAATTGGGACCACAATGGATGGGGAGAGGGTTTCCAATGCTTTTCAGCACAGTCCCAGCGAAAATCTGCCTCCAGAGCTGTCATTTGCTGAGATACAAGGGCTCAGGTATCCTGGCCCAAGTTGTTCAGGGCTCTCCATACTGTATTAACCTGGCCAGGTAGCAGATGGGTATCCAGTGTAGATGTTTTAGCAGATGTTTCACATGCTGTCAGCTGTCTGAGACCATCAATAGTCTAGCAACAGCATTCTGCACCTGCTGAAGCTTCCAGACCAGACCAGAGGGCTTCACTACATAAAGCTCAAATTAAGGAATTGCTTGACAGACTACATCATGCTACATTCAAATGATGCATATTAAAACACTGGTGGCTGCTCCTTCTACCTCCCCACAAATAGCCTAGAAGGGACCCAGAGAAATAGAATGGGGCACTTGACTGCTGCTACTCCCCCAAAGCACTGTGGACTTCCAGATGCACATTTGTGAGGATCAACCTGCATCTGAAACCCCATGAGGATGCAATGGTTTGGGGGTTCTTGCAGTGGAGAAAGTGGCATGCAGAGAGTTAAGCACCCTCTCCTACCATCTCTTCTGCATTAAACATTGCTTCCTCCTAAAACCACTGTTCCCTGGGAAAACCAAACATCAGGTTTTCGATACTCACATTTTGTATGATATTCAGTTTGACTCTTTAAGTCCCCAAGCTGGTTAGACTTTGCTCATCTAAGTAGTCTCTGGATATAAGACTGTCCAACCTTGTCTTTCATCACAGTGCTATTAATGAGAGTTCTTGATTTGATTGCATGTGCCTCCTTGTGTTGGACACTCAAGAAAGAACATCGCCAACAACACAAATGGATGTAGCCATTGCTGCACCAGTACATCACACGTACAAATTAAGGTTGGTACTCCTCAGATCTGATGTTAGTATTGCAGATAAATATCCCAGTGAAAATATTTGTGATTTGGCTGCCTAGTCCATGGACTGCAATAGGCTTAAGTAAACATGCAGGCAGAACCATCCTATGGATGGTGTTAAATTGTTGCAACCTGCCCTGGGACCGGCTGGTGAAGAATGGGTAATAAATTTGGTGGTGTTGGTGGTAGGGGGGTCAGATATGCCACTCCAGCACTGGCAGAGCAGATTCCATCTCCTACATGTGCTTAGTCCTAGAGAAGAAGAGGAAGCACAATGCTTGGAAATCTCAAGGTGGGGTAAATTGTAGACACACAGACACACCCCATCAAACACTGTCTAAGTCCACCAATCATGGAGTGCACCAGTGATGCTGTGATTCTTCCTGCATGCCTCCTGCTTACAGAGGAAGCCAATGAACTTACAGTGATAAGGGTATCCCCCTGGCAGCACCACACCCACAATATGCACAACAATATATCCAGCAACCTCAGCTGCACAGCCTGCAAGGACTCCAGCACTGCCAGTCCCCAGCCATCTCCCTGAGCATGGATTCTAATGTTCTTCCATGGCTCACAAGCACTATTCTAGAACACACAACTGAATCAGGTTAGAAAGGAGAGGCCACACAACACAGCAACCATACAACTCCCTGGGTGTAAGGCCTGCAGAGAGCACACATAACCCTCTGGTCTGGGACAATATTTCAAGACCCAGCCAAGGAAGGAAAGACCCTCTTGCCAAGCAGTCAAAAGGAAGGGCTTGAACAAGCAACAAGGGCAGCCAAGCACACACTGACAGCAGCAACCTCAGGTGGCGTCTTGCATAGGGATAGGTGTTGGCAAGCAGAATATTCAAGCCCTGCAGCACCCGTTAAACTTGTGCTCCCTGAGATGCTTGCCCACTCCCTATCCAGGAAGTCTGAGCAAGCAGATAAAGGAGGGGGTCACTGCCCCCAGCCTAGGGGTAGATGAATCTGTCAGTTTTGGTTTCTCATTTATCCAGTCTTATGTTCAGTCCATCCATTTTTAAGTTAGCACTGACTGGCAGCAGCTCTCCAGGATTTCAGACAGGGGTCTCCCCCTGCCCCACTTGGAGATGTTGGGGATTGAACCCGAGACCTTCTGCGCATAAGACAGATGCTCTACCACCGAACTACAGGTAGAAATTCAATTTGTGAATGAGTTCAGAAGGTATGTGTGGGGTTGCCAACCAGTCACTCTAGCAGAGCTTCTCTGCCTTGGCTGATCATGCAACAGAGACAGCATTGTAGCAGGTGCAGCATCCCAAATCATCACCATCACCGTCCAACTGGAAGTCCCATGAGTAGTGGAGAACTCTCACTTCATGAATTGGAGGGCAACAAATGAGTACAAGGGAAGTGAGCTTAACACACTAATTCCTACTCACCCTGCTTGCATGTAGGATTTACATGCAAGCAGCACACTGAAAGAGGATTCAATTTAAGGCTGGATCCAACTCAAAGTATGCATCTGGCTTAAGAATTATTGTTTCATAAATGAATGCAGATATAAACAATTATTAATCAATTAGGAGAACTAACATATTGACTTCTTTGACGATGATCCTAACAGTAATAGTAACTAACTCGATTGGAACTTACAAAGGAAGGATGCATTGAGGGCTAGTGAATTTTGCACACAGGAAGGAGAGTTATTCCCAAAAAAGTGTGCCCACACACAGTTGACGTCAGATACATTAACTAGCATGGGGTCTAGCTGGCCCCAACTGGCAACCCCTCATGCAAATTTTTAATTCAGGATTTGTGTGAACCCTCTATAGGCAAGTGCATACTAGAGAAGTTCTTGGGAAATGCTTTTTCTGAGCAGGATAAAAACAGAACACCTAATGTGACCTAATATATCTGTCATATTTATTTATTTATTTTTTAAATGTGCTTGCAGACTGAGACTTTACATGCCAGGTTTCAGCCTAAAGCAAATTTTAACAACGGCAATTGAAACGCCTAAAAATAGGCGTTTTGTTATGGAAGTGCTGACACAATGTTATCTCTAACAGTAAAAATAGCAGTGATAATTAAAAGTGCATAGCGCACTTTGACAAACAAGGATTACGGCCTGATCTTGGTAAGCCTCTAAGCCTGTGCTTGTGTAAATAAATATATATTGTTGCGAGTCACAGTGCTTGCATTGTGAGCGTAAAATCCATACCTGTTGCCCTGGTGTTGTTGTGAGCCAACCTAGGATATTATTGTGTGCGTTGTAGACGACAGCTGCCTTTGTCAGCTGCTGCATGGTGCCCAGCTGTTGCATGGCACAGCTTTGTGGAGGAGAAGGGATCATAGGGATGTCACACCGAGAAGATGCCAGCGTCAACTCATCGACACAGCATTCTAAAGCCATTTGGACCACCACAGAGTCAGATGCTTTGGTACAATGCTGTGCACATAATAATTGGTATCCATCACTTAGAACGGGATAGCTGCTGACATTCATCACAAAGTAGTCAGGATGCTGTTGTACAGAAACTGGGGTGAGCCAGTCTTTCCAGCAGTTCTAATATGTGTATCTCTGGGTTCAGAGTGTCAGGACAACAAACAGCACATTTTTCTTAATATTCAATCAACAACACAAAGAAAGCATGTTATGTTTTGCACCTATGATGTACAGTGGTAGCTCAGGTTACAGATGCTTCAGGTTACAGACTCTGCTAACCTGGAAGTAGTACCTTGGGTTAAGAACTTTGCTTCAGGATGAGAACAGAAATCGCGTGGTGGCAGCGCGGCGGCAGTGGGAGGCCCCATTAGCTAAAGTGGTACCTCAGGTTAAGAAACAGTTTCAAGTTAAGAATGGACCTCCAGAACGAATTAAGTTCTTAACCTGAGGTACCACTGTAGGTTGTATTGAAAGCTGTGGTGCAATTACAGTAAAACATCCAGCAACTAGAAGACACCTACACCTGTGATTTCTTTTACATGTGCACAGGGGATCTGAAAGCATCCTCAATTTCAATCTGTCTGTCTGTCTGTCTGTCTCCAATACATGCGCGTGCACACACATTGCAAGCTTATTTTTAAGTTCAGTAGAGTTTTAAAACCTTCAGATGTTGGAGTGGGGAGTGCTTTTGGAGTAAATGAAGGCAAAATTACATTTCAGATATTGATGTTTCTCTGAGTTGTTCTGCATCATGTCTGTTAGATTTTAGAAAAACCTAACTTTCCAACCTTCCCAGATGCTGGGCAGTTTGAATTATTTCTAGTTCATCTTCATGTTCATTTCCCTCTCCCACCCTCACCCAGAAGGTCAGACCCCTAGCTTTCATTTTTTTAAAAAAGGAAGTAAATCAGACAGCTATAAAGAAAGTTAGTAAGCAAACTGTGGAGGCAACATTCTAAGGCTTATAAGGTAGATAAGGGGGTCTCTTGTTAAGGATGCTTCATCACTTAATTGCTGTTAGTAAATAAGAATAGGAAAAAATGAGAAACTGAGAGAAACCAACAGTGTCTGATTTATGCATCCCTAGCAATAAATACACACAACATTCTGATCAGTTTTAATTTATTTAAATATTTATAAAGCACACTTTCATAGAAAATATAACAAGGTGGTGTACAGCATAAAAGACCACTACTACAATAACCGCAACAGCAGCAGCAACAAGAGTGTTACTTTCATGTTGCTGAAGGAGCTGTCAAGATAATCTGAGCTGAAGAGAAGGGCCTCAGAAGATAATCTCAGGGTCCAGGTAGGTTCAGATGGAGAGGGATGGTCCTTTACCAAATCACATCACCTTGGGGGCAGGGCTTAAATTTTCAGCTCTGAGCAGAAAGGCTATGCCAGATTTTAGTCTGATGCACAGGAAAACAAGCTGCAAACTAATCAAATGCCAAACAAATCAACAAGCAAAATCCCCTTGGAGCTTTAGGCCTGGGCCCATTGGCCCTCCTGACCCCTCCTCTGATGGGCCCCAGTTCTGCATTATCAGTTGCATCTCAATAATATACCTGCCTGGGCTGTGGCTCAGTATCAGACCATCTACTTTGCATGCAAAAGGCTGAAGATTCAATCATTGGCATCTCCAGGTAGATTTAGGGAATGACACCTGACTGAAATCCTGGAGAGCTGCTGCCAGCCAGTGCAGGCTGGACCGATAATCTGACTCAGTGTGAGGCAGCTTCCTATGTTCCTATCTCCCTTACAAATGGGCTGTATTATTTTAAGGCTAAATAGAAGCAATGCAGAATGAAAATGCTTCTCCTGTCTCCTTCCATCATTAATAAAACTGTATTCCATCAAAACTTTTCAGTTGAAGCCTGTCTGCTATAAGTCTCTCTGTATTTATAAAACTCTGTTGGACCTAATTTTAGTGGCATAACCTTTTGGGGTGTGTGTGGGGGGGTGAGGGCTTTACTCTTAATATTATATTCATAGCTCATAGTAAGTTAATGCTAGTTTTTATTCCGAATAGGGCCAACACAGGTGGTTTTATTGCTTCTGGCTTGGCTTTCTGCCTGGGCCAGACTACCCAAGGTGTGGAAACAGCCCAGCATAACCCAGGCATTTGTTATGTTTTTTTTGTTTCAACAACACAATAAGGAAATTAAATAGATTTCTAGCTATGAATCTTATTCTTATGAAATATGAAAGCCCAGAAGAATTTCAGGAAATTGATTGCCTAAGAAAGGATCCTTAATACCTATGGCTGTTTAAAAGAACAAGGGGGAGAAAGATTCTCCGACTGCACTACAGCTCTTTTGATATTAGTACAAGGTGCACTGCCATGTCCATCTTTACAGATCTAGGATCATACAGCTACGTCGGTTCTTTCATATCTGCAATAATGGGAAACAGCCGTGGTGTTCCGTTTATCATTTCTAAGGCTGGATCAGTGTAAGTTTAATGCCCTCTGCTGGGAGAATCAATAGGTTAACTGATTTCTCTTCAGATCCGTAATCACACAGTCTGATGCCTGAGAAGTACAGGCGAAGTCTTTCAGAGACTCTACTCATCTCAGCCACACTCTCCTCTCACAAAAAAAGGAATGTTGTGGAGACGACGGGGCGTGATTAATACCAATAATTAATAATGGCCTGAGAGTGGACCCCCCAGACACAGAAAGGAAATACAGGATGTGAAATTGGATGATGGGATTTCAGCCCACTGAAAAATCTGGTCACTGATGCAGATCAGAGACTTGGCAACTCTCATCTTCCCTTGTCTCCTGTTTGTGCCTTCCCTTTCTTCCCTGAGTAGCACCACAAGGGTATTTGGCAAGGGTATTGATACAGTTTTCGCCTTGCATGCCTAGGTCCTAGGTTCTATTCCTGACATCTTCTGGTAGGGCTGCCAATATCCTCTGCCTGAAACCATGGAGAGGTGCTGCCAGTCCTAGCAGACCATACTGAACTGGATGGAATGATGGTCTGATTCATAGAATAATAGAATTGTAGAGTTGGAAGGGACCCCAAGAGTCATCTAGTCCAACCCCTTCAATGCAGGAATGTAAGGGCAATAAACCATTATTTTTATTGGCTTGCTTTGCAAGGCCAACATGCCGTAGAAAAACAAAGTATAGTTCATTGTCTTGGAGAAAGCAATAAACTAAGACTGGACACTGTGTCCTATTATCACATGAGGAGTAGATTATCTCAATCTCTCCACATCCCATTGACATGAACTAGGACCTTGATTTCTTGGGAGAAAAGCAATGACAAACCTAGACAGCATCTTAAAAAGCAGAGACATCACCTTGCCAACAAAGGTCTGTATACTTAAAGCTATGGTTTTCCCAGTAGTGATGTATGGAAGTGAGAGCTGGACCATAAAGAAGGCTGATTGCCGAAGAATTGATGCTTTTGAATTATGGTGCTGGAGGAAACTCTTGAGAGTCCCATGGACTGCAAGAAGATCAAACCTCTCCATTCTTAAGGAAATCAGTCCTGAGTGCTCACTGGAAGGACAGATCCTGAAGCTGAGGCGCCAATGCTTTGGCCACCTCATGAGAAGAGAAGACTCCCTGGAAAAGACCCTGATGTTGGGAAAGATGGAGGGCACAAGGAGAAGGGGACGACAGAGGACGAGATGGCTGGACAGTGTTCTCGAAGCTACCAGCATGAGTTTGACCAAACTGCAGGAGGCAGTGGAAGACAGGAGTGCCTGGCATGCTCTGGTCCATGGG